ACATATATATACATACATACATACATATATATACATACATACACATATATATATATATATACATATATACAATATATATATATATATACAATATATATATATATATATATATACATATTTATTTTTCCCCAAAAGTTGCCCCACTCTTTACTCTTCCTCCTCGTCAGCACCATAACCAGAGCTGCTTGCCTTTCTCACTACCTCTCCCAATCCCCTCCTCCCCTACCACCTGCCCTTCCTCCTTCAACCTCCTCTTCTCTCCGATCACCCTATCATGAAGCAATGCAGACAAGACAAAATATTTGACATTGGTTCAAGGCGGTTTTTTATTCTTGTTTTCTATTATGGGCAACTTATACAGAGTAAAAAAATATTACTATCAATTTTATTTTTCTTTATTGTCAATATTTTTGTTTCATGATTTTATCATTAAAACTCAAAAATATTTTTAGTCGTGTCATACGTAGAAAAAAATAATCCAAAATAGTATCATTCTCATATGTCACTGGTTATTTTTTTATGGATGGCTTAGCAATACAAAACGTCGGACAGTATTGAAGCGGATTACATTTTATGTATTTAGGGATAATGTAACATCTTTAGTGTATCAGCTTTCTATTTAATAAAAATACTATATAAACATTAGACCTGCATCAATCTTCGAAATCCTCTTTATATGCATTTGTTCAATCCATTTTGGAGACCCTTTCAAGCCCGATAAAAGCTGGTTATATCATTTTCATTTACGACGACGATAAATTAGATATATATCTAATCCACAAACTTTTAAGATATAGATTGATCCTTGTAGACGCATATGATGACGTAAGCAATGATGACAAAAGAGGAAAGGGACAAGGAGAGACAATTTTAAATTTTTTAAATTAAAAAAATGAACTACTTCAAAAATATACATAGACAATGACATATATACATACATATATACATACATATAGACAACGACATAATATGATATTTTTTTAACAAAAAATAATTTAAATTAAACGTAATTTTAAAAAATTGATATGACCCAAATTGAGAAAAAAAAAATGCCTATGACCCACATCTCCCAATGTTTGGTCCATATATATATAATTAAACACCACGAGATATATCATGTTTGACTTGAAAGCTAATCCACTTCTCCAAGTTCAAAGCTTGCTCAATATATAATGAGTCGTTTCTATTTGTTCCCACAAACATTTCATATGACAACAGTTACAGACAGTAATAACAACTGCTTAATCCTTTAAACTATAGCTAGCAAGCACATACAGATTTTTTGAACTCAAGCAACAGAAACATGAGATCAGCTGTTAGACCAACATTTCTTAAAAAGGAACAACAAGCCACACATTTATACGAGATTTGGTGTTCGAGATGAAAGCAGCTCCACCAGATTTGATGCCAGAAAACACATCAAGAAACTTTTTAGCTCACAGTGTGGGGAGTGTGCGAAGCCTATCGAGAGCAAGTAAACAGCTGCTCCAACCAGCGCATTGTGGGAAGGTTGCAACTACTTAACTTTCTGTATTCTTATATACAACATGGAAAGAAAAAAGAAGAGATTCATGTGGATTATTGATCTTCACACTATATCACTTCCCTTGAGAATGTTGTACTTGCAGAGCGGGCAGTTGGCATGGATCCGAAGCCATTTGACTATGCATGAGGAATGGAAGTGATGGTTGCATGGCAGTGCATGGAGTTCCACCCCATCTTCGTATGATGTGAGGCAAATACAACACTCCTAGAACATAGAAGGGTCAGATCAAATTATAATTTGAAGCAATCAGCTTCGAAAAGTACAAAGAATCTAATGAATCAGCATAGAAAAGTCTGAAGAATCTAATGAATCAGCCTAAATAACAAACAGCCATCAAACACCAAATTGATAGTGTTTGGCACTCCA